CTCTTGACAAGACTTTTAGGTAATCTATTAATAATATGTTTATAGTCAAAATGGAACATTTTATTAGATATAGTTTCGCGCAAAAAAAGTTTGCGTGCAAAAATACATCCATTAGTCCATAGCAATAAAATGTTTTATTTTACTAATAAATTCATGTGCCAGCTTTGTGACACATCTGGCAGATCAGCTAGAAATATTAGCTCTGATCAAGAATTCATGTGACATAATGACCATTGGTTAGCAAAAAAATCATGTGATTTTAACCAGGACGCTTCAGCTGAAATTTGTCAAGAAAAATGATAGGTTATGGAATCATCAGATTTCCAGAACAGGCCGTTGTCTCAGCAAAAAATTGTCAAGAAAATTTTATTATTTGATATATATCACACACAAAAAACATGAATATATATTTACGAAATCGACCGTTAGGATCACTTTATTGATATAGTAAACTAATAAAAAAAATCACATGATTTTGTCAAGAAAAATTTTTATTAATAATTAAATACATGAAATCAAACTCTATTCTATAAATTTTTGGGGGTTAAAACTGTTATTACTAAGGTTGCTTATCTAAACTCATTTTTAATTTGGCAAAACGGTAAAACCTTTAGTTTCGCTAAATTTTTACTAAGTGTTTGATATAGTTTCGCCATTTTTATAAGCTTTGATATAGTTTTACCTTTTTCCAAATTTCGCAAATTTTTTAATAAGGTTTTAATATAATTTAACCAAGTTTTACTTTTACCATTTAAACGTCTGTCTAAACTCTTGATTTCGTCCAGCAACCTTAGTTATTACCATTTCACTAAAATTATGCTCACTATCCCCAAAATTAAAATCATATAATATCTTGTGGCTACAGATATTCTTAAGTATGGATAAGTGGATATATAACACTTGGTGAAATTATATGCAATAGAATTATTACTTCCTCTATTAGACAGTACTTATAAATTCCTGATTCTTTTTGTATAGCATAAAATTCTATAATATCATCTAGAAATAAATAAGGCAGAATATAAATGATTTATAAATATATAAAAAAATAGAAAATAATTTATATGTACTTACGATATTAATAGTAAATATGGTCAGATTCTGCCTCTTAGATAGTTGATTAAATATCTTTTTAAGGTTTTTATGCTTCTCATAATATTAATAAAAAACATTAATTTTTTGTGATCACGAACCTGCTTATTTTGACTGGAATTAGGTCTACCGGTCTCAAGATAAACAATTTTAAGTTTAGCATTTTTTTCTAACTGGATTATTATCATATAATCAGCTCTTTAGGCAATTTTATAAGAATCTTTTCATGTGACACTAACTGAACTTCCTTTTTTACTCCTTAATTTAGAAAACATATAATTGAAATAAAATATATAATAGTAGTGTATTTTTCAAGTTAAACTTACCATATGTCTTACGCTATTAGTTTTCCTGGTAAATTACTCATCACTATATTTATCAATAGTGTGAGAATTTTGCAAATATATGATCTTTCATTTATTGATTTACCCTTCTTTATATATGCTTCGTATTTTGGTGATTTTCAAACTTTGAGCCTATAATTATTTATCAGTTAATAAGCAAAGCAAAAAAAAATGCCAATTTTTCTTGTTGCTATCATGCAGTTTCAGAAATTTGGACTTACATTGATTCTAACATTTGTTTAGCTAAATCCTATAATTTTTTAGGTTTATCTAACCATTCTCTATAACCAAAATCTCATCCATGATAATTTTCAATTTTTTATTCCAAATAAATTCTTTATAGGCTTTTATTATATCATAATTCTATTCTAACTTATATTTTTGAAATGGTTCCTTAAAAATATCACAAACTGATCCTAGTATATTTGTAAAGAGTTCTGACTTAATATGGAAGCTGTGCTATTAAAAATGGGTTACAGAAACCTTTCAACAAAAAATAAGATTTTTGATTCATATTATAGTATATTAAATGAACTTTATTTAATTAAATTTTTAAAAGCTATTAGCTCATTAATAAAACAAGTATTTTGGTGACAAAAATGCTTAAATTTCTGTGTAATGTCAATCAAATATTTAAAATTAGATTTATAGAAATGATCGATGTAAATTTTAGCAATAATTGACAAATAATCGACATATATAAAAATGCTTCAAAATATGATTTTAAATAGCAAAATCTCAAGTGTTATAAAATTAATGTAACAATATTTTTGACAAGACAGAGTTGATAGAAAATTTTTAAATATTTTATAGTTTCATTATTTTTAAAATAATTTAATATTTATAAAAATAATTATTATAATAAAATGTTAAATATATAAAATAAAGTATCACCTTATTAATTGATTAGACTCAATATTATTTTTAATGCAATTTTTTATTGGCTAAGTATGTTTATTATGACATAACTATTTTTTGATTATCAATTATTTAAAATCAATTTACTAATCTCGTAACCTATTTTTAATAGATCAGCTTCCATATTCAGAACATCTGAATAAATCAGATGATCGAATCTAAGACTCTTTACATTTATTTCCTCAAGTTCCATTTCTATTCTCTCTCACATAATTTCTCATAACTAGTACTCTCACTTATGCACTGACTAACATCACGCTTCAAAGATCATAAATTTGTATTTGCATTTTCATATCAGGCTTCATTATCAATTAATAATGCTTTTATTTTTGAAAGTAAATATAGATCATCGAATACTGTTGTGACCTAAAACATATTTAATATTAGTTTTTTAAGACTAGTTTGATAAATGATTCAATTTTACATTGTAGGATCAGATTAGGTTTCTATTTTCATAAAGTTTCAAATGCTAGCAAAATATCTGATATGTATTATATGGTATATAACTAGTTACTACTGTTAGGAAGTAATAATATTATAACAGATATTAGCCTCTTTGCTAGTGGTTATACCATACTAGAAAACCTAAAATTACAAGTCATCATATCCATATATTTATTATAAAATAATTCATCACTATACCCATTTCGTCAGTTTTTTTTAGTACCAAAACTTTAAAGCTTCTTTATCCGTTCAACATCTTCTGAGAGGACTTGCTCTAAAACTCTCCAAAACATTTTTAAAATTCTCTGACTACTTTTTTAGAACACTTAACTATACACCTTGCTTCACTCATATAAATAACACTATGAAAATTCTGACAATATCAAGGGGTTCTCTTGTTAAAAGGAATTCTTCTATATTTTGATAAAATAAAAGTTGAATATTAGTATAAAGCTTGCTAAGCAAAGTAAAAAAATAATGTAAAAGTATAATAATTTCACTATACTGCTCTTTTTAATATTTGTAATTTCCTCATTCACATCTCTCTGTCAAAGTAGAAGAATATGCAATGCTTTTACGTCAAAAATGTTATGTTCGAAAATAAGAGCATGTAGGATATGCATTAAAAATTTTGACATTTAGAAAGACATTAGGGATAATGCATATATAGTTTTTATCTGTCTGAATATGCTATTATTTGGATAGATATCTTTTACAGGTCTATGATTGAAAGAGGGTAGAAATAGCCTTGTCTTTCCAAGCAAATATACATATCAGTTAATATATTATTTTTCTAGAACATTGCAAGAGAAAAAATAAAATATTTTTTGGAGAGGATCGATTTATGTGTGAAATTATTTTATCACATAAGCAAATATTTGCACTCACACAGATGATTGGTAATGTATCACTATTACTTCATATATGCACTTTACAAGCTTTAACAAGGATCAGAAACATGTTTATTTTTATCACACATGTCTTACATACTATTAGCAAGGCGCAAGTAAATATGAAGCTAATATAATAAATTTCTTTCTCTCTTGATTGCCTAGGTCGATCTGTGAGAGATAATCTTTCCCTTTTTTGGCAAATTTCAGCTGGGATATCCCAGTCAAAATCACGTGTATTTTTTTCGAATGAGTATGAAAATAAGAGATAGAACTATTTTTTATTTATGTATTACTTCAATCGTATTCTAAAAAATCTATAAATAGTTATTTTCCTACAGGTGATATATTTTACGGATTAGCTCTATATTAATAAAATAATACTAGATATGGTATTAGAAAACATTTCTCGAAGGCGTTCTCAGAATGCTTTATCTCTATACTACTAATTACTGTTAGGCAGGATATTAATATGCAAATTGAGTTACGCTAACATTTCTATCTGACTACTAATATACTAACTAGACTTTTTTTAGTATCAAGATAATATTCAGGATTCTGTGCTCATTTTATCGTAGTATATTAATTTAGTATATAACCTTTTGTTGCAATATTTTTCTAGTATGAGCAAAAATTACCCAACCTAATCAGTATAATAATTGATTTTTTTCTCTTCTGCCTAAATTCTAGTCATATAAATAATATGATCATATTGTGAAAGAAATTGATCAACTTTCCCATTATATTTTATTAATTTTCCATTAATATAATAATAAGTCTCATCATAAGAAATAATATCTAACTACTTTTACCTGTCAGGAGTACCATCATTTCTTATCGCCTCCCAAACTTGTTTTGTTAAAGTTTTGGATCTCTTTTTATAATTCCTGTAAGCTTGCTGGATAACTGTTACATAGAAATTTTTAAAGCTATAATTAGCCATAAAGCATTTCACATAGTATTTAGGAATCAAGAATCCCATGATTACTTCATTAAACTTCTTAAATTCCTCAAAAAAATATTCATTATAAATTAGAGGGTCTAACTCAAAATAGGCAGATCACAGACAAACAATTGATCAGTTTATACAGAATGATTGAATTTTATGAAAAAAATAGGCCTTAGCCACAAAGTATATTAACTGCTTTTTTACTTATATATAGTTTAATAAATAATCTATGTTTAGAACTTAGAATATTTCTTCCAATCAGTTAGTTGTAACTCGAATCTAAAAGTAAAATACTTTTAGTTGAAATCATATTTTTCGACGAATATCAAGGAACAAGATTAGTACATATAAAATACTGGAAAAATGGTAAGTATCATGTGTGAAGTATCAATGTCATTTTTCAAAATTAAATCGAGCAATAGTAAGACATACCTTATTTTTATTTTTGTAGGAAATGCTCAATCATTCAATTGATAGAATTGATGATAGATATGATGGATGCAAAGGTTCAACTAAAAACTTACTTTCTTTTTATATGATTTGTAATAATATACATTACGTGATCTTGAAATCAGCAAGTATGATCACATTATGAAAATCTGGATCAACAGCTCAGTTGTGTAAAAGTTCGAGAAATCATGCTATACTATAGTTATGATGCAAATAATTTAGTTGGAGAGTATTTTTCTGCTCTTGCATCACATATTCCAGTATTCTGTGATGATTGAAAGGAATTTGCCAAAAATCTAAAAGGTAAGTTTAATACTAACTTTACTTATTTCACAATCCAGGAATAAGAATTAATCGTTTATTAATAATAACTTATTATTCCTGAATTTTAAATGAAAGGCAAATCAATTATCGGATTGGCGAGATTTGCCACAATATAATCTCACAGTGCTAGAAGTTTCATTTGACTAGATGTAGGATTAGCTGGCTCGAGCTTCAAAATAAGCTAAAGTATAAAGTATTTAGATTACAGGAAGCCAGAATAGTTTTAACAGTTAGGAAAATTTATTGTGTTACATCATGGGTTAGAAATTAATTAACAAATCATAGATTGATTTGTATAATATGAATACTGTGAAACTATTACTCTTCTGGTCTTTTGGAATGCAAAAGATAGTCTACCCTATTTGCTTAATCTGATAGTTTTTCTTTTTTGGAATGAATGTGAGAAAAATGATAAAAAATAATAGCATATAGAAATATATTATAATTGGTTATGTGATCATATGTAGTATTAAAAATTTTTCTTCTTTTATGCTTTCACATTTACTACAGTGAACTCTTGATATAACGAATTCTAGGATCTGGATATCAACTTCATTATAAGCTTATAATGAATTTTTTAAAGAATTTAATTGGCTAGTTCACTATAGTAAAGGTAATTTTAATATATTTGATTTAAAAATTCGCTATATCAAGGGTTCGCTATATCAAGGTTTGACTGTATTGGAATTTTATGTAGATGAAGAGCAATCCTGCATTTGAGATGATAAGTTTGTTTTCTGCAATATTCACCAGAATCCTATTTACCCATTATATTATTCTTTATACTTTTTTTCTTTATAATCTTCATTACATATAGGATAGGATGCTAAATTAATGAGATTAAAGCTATCATTACAATTCTCATATTTCTTTAAAAATAGATAAGAAAATCGCTTTAACACCAACCCAATGATATGTTTTCACTTCACTTCTCGATCATCAAGTAAAATAGAAATCAGAAGTCTGGATTTGTTAGATGACATTATCTGATTGGAAGAAGATATAGATGATACACTCACCTCATCTTTGGGCAAATTGACTGGATCAATTCTGGAGGAATCACTTGAAGAATTAGAAACATGAGATGAAGGAATAGGTGTGGCTGAAATACTTACCTCAGCTGAAATTTCAGTCAAGAGATTTGATACTTCTTTCACATTAGCATTATTATTGTCATTATCATTATGCTTAAAAAAATTATTTATAATATCTTGAACTTTATCATTAGTTAACTCAGAAATATAATTCGCTGTATATGTCATAATATACTTAATATTTTCTACACCTATCTTTTCAAATAAATTATATATTTTTACGACTTACTGAGTTTACCCTTACAAGTATTAACGTGTGATTTCTAGAAGTTATAATCCAATTTCTTCAGATCTCTTTTTACAAAAAATGGAATGATTCTTTAACATTTTATTATAAATAATTCCTTTCACTTTTTTCTCACCAATTTTTCTATTTTTCATAGTTTCGTTAACTAGAGTTATAAATTTTTTTCATAGTAACATCAGCACAAAATTTCTTTCTAATTCACATGAATTGCATCATATTTAGCATTAGTCACTTTATTGAATAATTGAGCTAAAGTAAGCAGTGGTATTATAGAAGAAATTTGACTCTATTGTGATAATATATCGTTAAAAAAACTAAGAATACATTTTTAAAACTGTGCATCACTTTGAATACCATCAGATATTATTTGAGAAATATTTTCTACACTTTTTTTCCTATGACTAGATATCATTGGTATCTTTTCAGAAGCAGAATACTAGTATCAGATGGTTCTTTTAGAATCGATTCTTGATCTGGGTTAAGAGATACTTGCTCTACTTTACTAAGTTTCTTCTCCCTATTATAATACCTAATCTTATCATTAACTCTTTTCTTATACAACTCGTCCAAGAAAGCATCTCTATTTACATCATTTAATCTCTTAGAATTGATAGATATATTACTATATATTTTGCAATTAGACTTACTATATGAGCTGGCTTGCTGAACTTCTTGAGAATCGGATATGATAGTAGCTGATACCTCTACCTCTAGTATCGCTTCCTTATCATTCTGAGGTTCTTCATTTACCATCAAGGAATGTTGTTCCATTATCGCAAGCTTAACTTCAAGCTCTATATTTTTTTGCTCTAATTCCTTAACCTTATCATGCATCTTATTCTCTTCAGCAGACTGTCTTAAAAGTTTAGTAATTCTGGCCTTAAGCTCAACTTTCTCAACTTTAAGTTCATCATTCTTGACCTTAATCTCAGCAAATCTCTTCTTAAATTTATCAATCTCAACTAAGAGCTTGACATTTAATTCCTTTAATGAATCATTAGATTGTGTGTTAGATATATCAATAAAAAATATGAAATATTTAAAATAAATAAAATACATGATTTTGATTGGAATGCCTTAGCTGAAAATTGCCAAAAAAAATTTACGTAACTTTAGGAGAATATCTTTTAAAAAATGATTATTTTTTCACGTATTTTAGAACCTTTATTTTCAGTATAATTAAGCAAATCTACCACTATTTTCATAGTTGTCAGTTGGTGTTAAAGATGGAGTTGTAATTAATTTTAAAATTTTTAACTAGTTGTAACTTAAGTTGCAACTTATTGAGTTGCAACTATTTATGAATTTTTTTATTAAAATAAATTTTACAAGAAGTTGCAACCAGTTGCAACCCAAGTTGCAACTTACTGGGTTACAACTTCTTAATTACAGTACCATCTTTAGTTGGTATAATATCACAACTGATCTATAACTTAACTATCCTTTTTTATCTTGCCCCATTAGAATGATGAAATTGGTTATATGATTATCTATTTTATTTCTATAATATTCTGCTTTGGAGATGAGTCCATCTTGATTGGATATATTACAAAATGCATTCATACTAAAGAGTTTTCTCATTAAGGAGTGATATGCTTTTTCTTTTGAATCATCGCATTAGTTTTCGAGTTTAATCAAAAGATTAATAAAGTTATCAATTCAAAAAGCATAGCGAACTTTCATTGTGATTGGCCAATTTTTGCAGATCATTTTTTATTATTACTAAAATTCTATTAGTTGATAAAATCACATGATTCATTAATTATTAAATCGAAAATGTTAATTAATAAAGAGATTAATTTTTTTTATTATCCATTTATAAAAATATCAATTATATTTATTAAATTATTGTATTATTTTATATTTTATCAATATTTTCTTTAATTATGCATTTGTTAAAATATTTACAGCTCTTTCAAAAAGAGAATCTATATTATTATCTAAAGTAAAATTTTCAATTTCAATATTAGTATTATCATTAGGTTCGGTAATATCCAATTTATTTATATTCTCATCTATAGCTATCCCACTAAAAGAATCCAAAGTTTTTGAAAGGCTTTACAATTATTTTCAATTCTGCTTATAAGATAATTAGTACAATATTGGTATTTACTTTCTAACTTAAATAAAAAAACATTCAAAATGATAACTATGACTACAAATTAAAATACAACCTACTTCACATAAACTTTCACAACCTTTCAAATTGCAGTATTTATCTTTTTGAGAAGGATATGCCATATTTCAAGCTATTGGAAAAATCTTAATATCAACTTTAGCATCCAATGTTACAAGTTCATATAATTTAGAAGAAATAGCCTTTGATTTATTAAGATTATGATAAATAAATTTAATAAAAAAAGAGCACTGCTTTTTTCAAGATATTCTAATTATTTTGCTGAATATCTAATATTATGATCTTCAGAAAATACATAGTAAAAAAGTTGTTACCACACATTTGATCAATTATTCGCGCTTATTGAATAATTTGTTTCATAGTATTTGATTTTGTATTTGTCGATGGAGAGAACTTTGAAAATTTTTCACATAATAATTATTAAAAATGTAAAGAGAATCTGAAAGAACTTGTGAAATAAGATTATTAGTATTATTCCAATAAAAACATCACTTAAAAATGCTAATGGTAACTTATTATAATGTCTATACTAATATTGATAAAAAATGGCTTATACACAAAACATGGCTTCTTTATATTCTAACCAATCTTGACTACAAAATATAACGGGATAAAAATCTAAAACTAATGGTACAATATTATCTAGCAAATTGATAAAGTATCTGACTTCTGGATTTTTAGACTGTTCGAATTTTTGTAAAATTGTTGAACGCACTCACATCTAACCTTGAGATGCTAATTCTAAAAGCAGATTAATTTTGTAAGGTTTTGGCTTTTTCACCAATACCTTTCGATGCCCAAATATTGCATGAAAAAACTTGTCAAAAAATTGACAATTTAAAAGAAACACAATTTTACGACTATTTAAGGATATATATAAAGGTCTGATTATTAGAACAATATGCAAGACTTGTTCTGGTACTCCAGAAGGATCTTTAACTTTGATATAATGAATGATAGTACAACACATATTTAGTTGTTTAGAATAATCTATAGGCATTACTAACATTTGTATTTCTATATATGTTTTTACTTCAGGAATAGTTAACTGATATTTAATTGCATTTACATAATCTTCAGTTGAATGTAGAGAACTTTCTTTTAGATCAACCAATTTTGTATTCTCGATACTTCGATTAACACAGCGTTGTTCAATCCTGTTATCATAATTATAAACCAAAAGGCACTTAACTCTTTTATCATGAGTCTCTGATATAGGTATCAAATTAGCAAATATTCACTTTCGTCCTGTATAACTGAGCCATAGAAAAGGAAAGAAAGAAGTATGCATATATTGTATAATAATAGTTGCATCAATACCCTTTTCATTATAGAAACTTTTTTCTTGATTAGGATTATAAAATGGGATAAATGCTATTTCTGACAAGGCTTTTAAGAGTATCATTACAAAATGCTAAATACTATGCGTAGTTGTTATATTACTACAGCGATACTCATGAATGTTATGAAAATCAT